TATTATTTGTAATTATTAATACAATTAAGAAATATAAATTCATAATATTAATTATTAGAGAATATCAATAATTTTTAAGAAAAAAAGAGATAGAAATATCAGCAACATGTCTCATGTTGCTGAAAAGGTACAAAAATTCAATTTCCCGCTTCTGCCAATGATATTTATCGACATGAGCCACGTCGATGAAAGTATGGGGGGAGAATTTTGGTAACCATTTTTACCGACATGAGCCACGTCGGTGAAAGTGTACTTTCACCGACGTGGCTCATGTTGCTGAAAAGGTTGCACCGGGTGAGGAGAGAATTCTGGTAACCATTTTTACCGACATGAATTACGTCGGTGATATTATGGTTTCAGCAACAAGGAGTATGTTGCTAAAAATGGTGAAAAATTTCGGTGGCCAGTCCGGTGAATTTTTTAGCAACATAAACCATGTCGGTAAATCTCTATTTTCAACAACAAGAGGTATGTAGCTGAAGAGGGTGCTAGATATCAGCAACATGGACCTTGTTGCTGATACATTACCGAGCATGGCTTCACCAAGAAAGGCATCAGCATCATGAGGTATGTTGCTAGAGTATTTTCAGCAATATGGGTAGCACTTTCACTGATGTGCTTCCATGTTGCTGAATGATGGAATTTTAGTAGTGAAAAAATTATAAAAAAAATTATTCATATATCACAACAGTCAATGTTTTTAACTCAAAATTTGCCCTAACAAGTAATTGTCATTTATTATTTTTTTAAGGTATATAAATACTGTATATGTTTTTCTACTTCAATCTTATTATTGTCAATTAATTTTAATTATCATCTTGTCACCAAATTTTTATAAAGTGGGTTAATGTTTTGATTATTAAAGATAATCTAGATAAAAACATAAATTAATAACATTATTTGTAGATAATTAAAGTTAATTAGGTGGCTGTTAACGCAGCAAACCTCCCAAGTCTCTTGCGCTATGAACTTCTTGTTGAATTAACTTGTAGAACCCATAGACACTCCAATACTTAAGTCAGTAATAGTCTGAACTACTTTCAATGGGATCTTGAAAGAGTTCTTTTTCTAGTTTTTCATCATACTTTCTTTGAGCTATGCATGGACATATTTGTACATCTTGGTCGGGCATCCACGTGGCTTTTTTAATCATCATTATCATGATATGATGTGTCTAACGGGGCAAGTGTCTTTAGTGGACGTAACGTGTCATTACAGAGCAACCGCATTAAATGAGTGTGACGTATTTTAACGGAATAAGTCTTTCACAAACGGAGGGTTAGGTAGGGATTGATGATCAAGTACAAGCGTCTTTATCGTAATCTCCGTGGAACTACGATACTGTAGACTGGGTACTGAGTTCTGCTCTATTTAGTTGATTGAGTTGAGCTCTGTCCTGTTCATTGAGTCGAGCTCTGTCCTCCCCTTACAGTGGCGCTACCTTATAGGTACAAGGAGGTAGACTTAATTAAAATGAAACCTATAAACTGCCATGAATTAACTCGGTTTCTTCCACAAAGATTTAAAAAATAAAGAAAAAGAAGAAGAAAAGAAAACGTAATCTGAGCTTCTTTCCTGTTAGCATTTCACATGCCTGTAAAATGTGGAAACAGTTTCTTCCTCTCTAACCCCATGCTTCCCATGTTGTAGCTGAGAGATTATCCATGCATTTTAACAATGATGAAACAAGATATTAAGAGCCTGTTTAGTGTGGCTGGTGAGAGCTTTTGCTTTTTGAGTACTGTTATGAGTGATAAATTTAAATTTTTATGAGAGGGAAAATAGAGTTTTAGCTTTTAAAAAGGTGAAAAAGTGAATGAAAAATAAGTAAAAAGAGAGTTTATGAAAAGTTTGAATTTGAAACTTTTGAACTTTTATTGTTTAAGAGTTTTTTGAGGTTAAAAAAATATTTAAAAATGTAAGTTTTTAATAAGGAAATTTAAATTCATAAGACATGAATAATATCCAAAAACTGAAACTCCAAAGAGCTCCACCAAACATGCCCTAAGAATGCAATAAATATTATATTTAAAAGTGGATTGGCAAATGTGCAAAATTACTTTCATGATTTCAGATGTGATCAAATCTTTGTCTAAGCACGTGACTGCTCATTGTTAGTGGCCACTGCCGGCCCGCTGCCCCATTTGTGATTTATCACGAGGATGGATAAGAGGATATCCATCGGTGATGGTGAACCCATTTCCCAAGAAGGAGGTCCAGGGGAAATCTTATGGTATGTCTCTCATTCGTCATCCCATGAGGTGAGATCTTGCAAATAGATTGGATTGGATGGTTTTAGATTGAGCCATATGGGATCTCAAGTTATTTGGATTAGATTATTTTAGGTGTTGAGCTAAGGAAGTTGACCTATAACTTATCCACATGGGTCATGTATTGAGTTATATGGATTCAATTTTAAAAATTAAAATTAAAATTAAAATTTTTTTAAATTTTTTCTCTATTTTTTCAACAAAATGTAATAGTAATTAACTATTTAGTTAAAAAACTTATCAAATAGTTAATTACTAAATATATCTAACAAAATATATCTAACAAAATACAAGAAGAAATTGGATCGAAATTGATTTTTATTAATTTGGAACAAATTATTAATTAAGAACAAATTAGCAACTAAGAACGAACTTTGATAGTCTTAATGGTCTTGATGTTCTTATCTTTGTACTTTCAATGATTATAAGGGTATTTTAACAATTGGGTTTGATTTTCAGTAAGTATTCTTAATTTTTTTTTTTAAAAAAATCATCTTTTTTACGATGTCATATAACACAATTTACTATGTGCCACCTAATTTAATTTTTTATGCAAGTGCCATCAAAGTGAAGGATTAGAGAGCTTGAGATGAAGAAGGGGAGAGCAAGAGTGGAGAAGAGAAAAAGTTGAGAGAAAGTGAAATTGATGAAAGATTAAATTTTGAGTATTTTATTTATTCCTACTTTTAAGATTAGGAAATTAAAAATTAAAAATTATTTTTTAAGTAATATAATAAAAATGAATAAAAAAAAGTTCAGGTTATTTCGGGTGACCCACCCCAGCTGTGACCCAACTCATTTAGGTTCGGACAACTTCAATTCAAGTCATTTTGAATTTCGAATTAACACATAAGACCTGTGATCCTACTCATAACGGATAGATTAGGTTAAATTTTCAGATTGGATCCAATTTTACTACTCTAATAAGGTGGAACCCTCCCCCGTCCAAAAAAAATAATAGTACTACTGTAGTATCACTAAGTCCATGGGTTATACAATAATACAAAGTCAAATAAGCCCAGTCAATGGCCTTCAATCCATCTGACCAAGCCCTAGTAGTGCGCAACCAATTTTAGTTCTATTAGTTAACTATTAACATCTGTTAATATTCCGTTATAAAAAATATGAAATTTAAATTCAATTGTATTTGTTAGTTTCATTAACGGAATACTAACGGACGCTAATAGTCAATTAACAGAACTGACAGTCAATTAACAAAATTAATAAAATATTAAAATCTGATATTAAATAAAAGCTATTTTCTTCATTTCGTACATATAAGGGGTTAAAAGTTTCATAATATAAGGTAAGGAGCTAAAACCCACTAATTTTGTAAGGTGAGGGATTAAAACCTACTAATTTTGTAAGATAAAGGGTTAAAATTGTCATGTTATAAGGTGGTGAGCTAAAACCTATCAACTTTATAAGGTGGGGAGCTAAATGTTAGTTTTTGCCCCAATAGGATGGGACAATAGTATTCCAACATTTTCCACCGTGAGATTAGGTGATTCACGGGGTTCCTAGAAATATACCTTAAATCTAAAAAAAGGTATGGTTTTCATTTACAGACAACAATGGCTTGGAAGGTCATTGGGTCGCTCTCCCATAAGTAAAGTCAACTTGTTTGGAAAGAACTTTTAGAATGATTGTCTAGGGTTTAAAATATCCATTTGTTATGTTTTATCATATTTAGAGATAATTTGGTCAACATAGAATCAGTAATGATACACGCACAATCTAAGCGATATATCGGCAGGAAGCTCGAGTTCATTAATTAAATCCATAAAAAAAGCTCGAGTTCATCTAAAGGTTTCATAAAAAATACAAGTCTTTTTCTATATATAATTAATAGAAAGTGTTTTGTAAATTGTACTTTTATTTTTTTTTTTTTGAAAGACTTATTTAAAAGTGTATCTTTGAATTAATATTTTTTAAAACTAATTTAATAGAAATGACTAATTTATTAATTACATAAAATTTAATAATATTAAATATATATCAATAAATAGATGATATTTAATAAAAAATTTTTAA